CCTATTTTTTTTAAAAAAAAGAGGCTGGCAGGGGACAGGGTTGGGGGTGGGTGAAATGGAATAGAGATTTTGTGGGCAGGATCTGACTTACCAGAGTCCTGGTTGGGCAGGTCTGTCTGGCTGATTGGGAGGCCAGGAAGATAGTGGTGGGACCACCTGAGGAGGGATTTAGCAATCTATCATAGGGTGTTTGGCTAATCTGGGTTAGGAAGCTAATTTAACTAGTCAAGAGATCTGAGGCAGAGGAATTGGAGCCCACCTGGTCCAAGGCTGGCACGGGACTGGGTGGGGGCGGGTGAGAGGAATGGACTATAGAGGCAGTGGGTGGGATCTCACTTCCCAGAGTCCTAGGTGGGTAGGTCTATCCTGTTGGTAGGGAGCCAGGGAAGATGGAAAGGCACCTGAAGAAGGACTTAGCTATTATTCTCTCTCTCTCTCTCTCTCTCTCTCTCTCTCTCATCTATCTATCTATCTATCTATCTATCTATCTATCTATCTATCTATCTATCTATCTATCTATCTATCTATCTATCTATCTATCTATCTATCTATCTATCTATCTATCTATCTATCTATCTATCTATCTATCTATCTATCTATCTATCTATCTATCTATCTATCTATCTATCTATCTATCTATCTATCTATCTATCTATCTATCTATCTATCTATCTATCTATCTATCTATCTATCTATCATCTATCTATCTATCTGATCTTTTATAGAAAAGGTCTCCCTGTAATCCCAGCTGGACTGGAACTTGCTATGCAGACCAGGCTGGCCTTGAACTCACAGAGATCTTTCTGTCTCTGCCTTTTGAGTGCTAGGATTAAAGGTGTGTGCCACCATGCCCAGCTTTTGAACTTATATTTTTAAATCACTTTTTCCTGACAGCTGATCATTTCACACATTCTTCAAGTCTTTGTTTACAAACCATTCTTCTAAGGAACTATTTCTGAGCTATCCTAATCCAATTAAGCAGAAATGATCTCTTTCTGAACTCTCATAGTTTCTCCATTTTTTTTGGTCTTTTTGAGACAGGGTCTCTCTGTAGCCCCAGGAACTAACTATGTAGACCAGGCTGGCCTTGAACTCACAGAGATCCACCTGCCTCTGCCTCCCAAGTGCTGGGATCAAAGGCGTACGCCATCACGGCAGGCTCTCCACTTCTTTTTAGGAGAGTATGTCTAAGGTTCCCCTTGCCATGCCCAGAGTCTGTGATCTAGGCATCCTCAGGGTTGAATTTGTAGTCCAGCTATAATTTATTACAGTGAAAAGATACAAAGAAAATGCACATGGACTCAAGATCATAAGAAGTCCAGCCCAGCAGAGCAAGTCCCAGAGGAAGTGGTTAATTCCTATAGCAGTGGGTGGTAATAGCACCAGTGAGGTATTAGGTACCAGGGAAACTCACTAGAGGCCCATTGCCCAGAGTTTTTACTGGGGCTGGGCCTCTGGTCATTTCTTTGCCTGTCTTGTACCAATATCTCATACTCTCTGAAGAAAAGCATGTGTCTAGAATAAGTCACATGTTTTGCAGTTCAGGAACAATGAAATTCTTATCAGGTAGGGCAGCACTCTAGCTCTGAAGTCCAAGTTCACAGATGCCAACAGCAGCCAAACTTGCCAGAAGTTTTTTCTAAGGATGAGAGTCTCAGGCCTGTTAGTGCTTGCGTGCTTATGCTGTTACAGAGTACTGCTTTATATATATGAAGTACCCCTATATCTAATATGTTAATACTATGTATATATCTATAAATTATACATATAATATGTATTGTACACATATATTATGTATATGTATGTACACATATATTGTACACATGTATTATGTATATGTATTATGATATCTTATATACTTTATCTCAGCTCTATCAGTTTGCATTCACTAAAGATAGGATAGACATTGTTTTTCATTGCTCCAGTATCCCAATATAGAATAAGATTCCTGAAAAGAGACACTTAGCAAGGACTGCTGATTAGAAGGTTTGCTTATTTAGTAGGGAACTTCCTAAATGAACAGGTAGGAGAGAAAACTAAAGAATGTAGAGGAAGCGTTGCTATCCTGTCCTCAATGGTGTTCTCACAAATATCTGAAACTGTTCTGTGCCAGTGGATAGAGGCTAGCACAAACCATATGAAAGGGAAGGAAGGCATCAATCATGAGTGATTCTAATACGGACTTTATTATTGTTGAGAGCAAAATATTTTTAAGGAGAACTGGGTGTGGCCATGCTTGCCTTTAATCCCAGCTCTTCAGAGGCAGAAGGAGATGGATCTCTGAGGCAGGTAGATGTCTGTGACATCAAGACCAGCCTGGAATGGTCTACATGGGGAGTTCCAGGCCAGCTGGGGCAACATAGTGAGAGCCTATCTCAAAAACAACAAAAAAGTATTTTTAAGGAAACAGGAATCTACAGTAGAATTTTAATATTTTCTTCTTTAGCACTTTAAAATAAATGAATACAAATATTTCTAGATGTTGTCATTTCATACTGGGGAGTTCACAGGACCTTAATGAAACTTTTATCATTTAGTAATTAATTCATATAAGTAGTGAGGACTCAGCAATGTATTTAACATTTTTGACTGTCATTCTGACATAATACCAGGGAAGTTGTATTGTGTTGAGCTACGTGAACTTAGATTCACTGAAATCTACATATTCCTAACAGGGTTTGATGTCTGAGATTTTGCTGTGAGACAATTAAGGTAAGAGAAAAGGTTTTTCATTCATTTATGAATAGAAAGTTTCAGAATGTGTAAGAACGTATAAAAGGGAAACCATATGTGATTCTATATACTTTTTAAAAGAATAAATTAAGAGGCTGAGAATTGTAAACACATTGCATTTTGTCAACCAGCAGTTTGGAAAGAAGATATAATTTTGCTCCTAGATGACGAATATTTGGTGTGACTAAGGATCTGTGAGTCTTGTTTCCAAGTTTCCAAGTTGTGACTAACTCAACACTTATCTCTTCAGAAAGATGGCACTGATCTGTGGCTGTGGCAGGCTCTTTGCTCTGAGACTTGGACAGGCATTTGAAACATTGTTAATATAAAAGAAATCCTTTGGGTGAATGATATTGTAAGTCCGTGTCACAGAGGGGCCATGTGTGTCTCAGGGAGCTTAGGTAAACATCTCTGGCTCACACAAGTAGGAAGTGACAGAGCAGAGACTCCAATTCAACGTCTCATCCTTGTTTTCAACCAGGAAGCCACATCACCTCTCAAATACCTATGGAGGGATTTAGAGTTGACTGTAATTAGAACTGTTCAGTAATGTATTATAAGATTTTTATTACTGTTACAAATACCTGAGATAATCATTGTGTCAGGAGAAAAGAATATTTTGGATCACAAGTTTTGAAGGTTATGAACCATGACAAGGAAAGTCTTTTGCTTTTATATCCCTGGTGGTGCAGGGCGAGCAGGAACACACCATAGTGAGAGTGGGTGGTAGAGCCAAGCCACTCAACTCGTTGCTAGGGAGCAAAAATGAGCAAGGAGGGAGCAGGTTTCAACAATCTCCTTCAAGGGCCCCACCTGGTCTAACAATCTGTCACTCCATTCCATCTCTTAAAGGTTCTGCTACATTTCAGTGGTTCCTCTAGGAGAACCACGCCAGAAACACATAGGCCTTTCGGTGGCATTTACTACCCAAGCTATACCGCTACTAAATATATGGGTCTCTTGCACTTCTGCATGGCTTACAAGCAAACATACTGAGTGGTTATGCTGTGGATCATCTTTGGAAGGATGCCTGCATAGTTGGAGGCATTGTACCACAGTTATGACCCCCTTATACAGGAATGAACAGGCATGCCTACTGTCTGTTAAAACATGGGGTTTGCTAAGCTCAAGATTTTATGCTCCTGCATAAAACACATTGAGTATGTGTGTACATGTTACCTGACTGTGGTAGACAGGCACTCAGAAACCTATTGTAAGATAATACTATTGACACTCTGGCAACTCCTATTTCTTACTTCTCAGTAAGTAATAAAGCCTTCAGTTTCCAAAAACTAAACAGAAAAACATTTCTCTAAATGGGAAGTTGATGTGGTTTGTATAATTCCTAAAGTTGATTACTAATTTGGCACTCCATTCGGTATTTAAAATCACTAATACAAAAGTAAGTTTGACGGGGGCTGGAGAGATGGCTTAGTGGTTAAGGGCACTGGTTGCTCTTGCAGAGGACCTGGGTTTGATTCCCAGCACCCATATGGTGGCTAACAACTGTTCATAACTCCAGTCCCATGGAATCTGATGCCCTCTTCTGACCTCTGTGGGCACTGCACAACACAGGGATACGGGTAACACATACACACAGGCAATACATATTAAAAAAATACACATTAAAAAAATGCAGAAGGGCCCTGGACAGTGAAAGACCCAGAAATGGATTCAGTTCTCGTCCATGATAAATTCATCTTGGTCCTGATTATATTTTTGAAAATCAGAGTTCAGCATTTTGACAATTGGCCCTAAGTTTATTACATTGATTTATAAAACTTACCTAAGTAAAAATGTATAAGTTTTAGCAAGGTGGACCTGAATTTCTGAAAAATTAAATTTATGGTGGGTCTCCCTCTAGCCCCAGTGGCCTAGAATTTATTATGCAGTAAAGGCTGGCCTTAGTCCCTCAGAAGTCTGCCTGCCTCTGTTTTCTGAACACTGGGATTAAAGGTGTGTGCCACCAGGCATGGCTGTTAATACAGTTTTAATTTAAGAGTGTGTTATCTCTATGGAATTTGCAGTTTAAAAAGGCCACATTTGTCATGAACAACTCTGAAAGTAATAAATTATTTTCTGTATTCAGAACCAAGTGGAGAAAGGAACTTATTGTGTTAAAGCATGATGTTTAAAACAGGAAGAGGTTAAAATAGTTCAAAGCTTTAAGGAGTCATATTTATGTATTTCTCATAAATAGCAATTATCAGTTAAACATCATTATATAACTTGTGAAATGTAGAAGTCAAAAAGAAGATTTCACCTACTTTTGATATGTTACTTGATCGACTTGCAGATCGTCCTGGGGACTTTTCATTCTGAAAAATAAAATTGGAAACAGTGACGAAAACAAAGTAAGATCCACCTCTGTATCACTAAGAGGAGAATGTGCAATGGGGAGGACTACAGATAACCTCAGTATTGTTTTGAGTATAAATAGTCTATGCAGAATGACTTTCATCAATTTTTATTTCTCTAATATACAGCAGTGTACATTTGAGATATTTCCGTTAATAACTGAGTAGTCATCAATGCTAGCATGAAATAATTATTTCTCCAGAAAATATTGTGCAAATCTTGTGAAAATAAAATAAGAAAATGAAAACATTGCTCATTGTTTCTCCTTCTGTTTTCACAACCAGATAATTCTGAGCTAATTCTACTTCCCAATTCCAGTTAAACATTCCATGGCAGATGTGTAATAGACACATCCAACTTTTGTTCTTCTGAAGCACATTTTACTGGGCATTTCTGTCATATGAGCTTTAAAATTTAAAATGCTTTGTAAGCTGTATTTTAAAATTTAAAACAAAAATATTTTAAAATTGTATACTGTGTTCTTGCCTCTTCAAGATTTTCCAGTTTAAAAGAAAAGATACATCAAAAATTCTTTTGAATGGAACTTTTTGTGTCATTAAATTTTAAAGTAGTAAGAGAGTTGAGCCTTCTAGTTGAAGGCCAGCACTATTTTCCTGAACACTACAAACTTCAAAACTCAATCTGTGCCAGCCCTGAGGCTTCTGAGGGTCGGTTTGCTATTTCTAGCCTGCTAATTGTCTGTTAGAAGATAATTGAACAGAAAACCAGGGTTTACAGATGTGGCCTTTCCAGGAAGAAAGTATTTACAGTCATGCTGCCTTCTGGACACAAGCTCCCAGCAGCTGTGGTTATCTACACAAGAACAAGCTAGGCAGTATTCAGGCATAGATGGGGGAGGCCCCATGCTACTGAGGAGCTGCTGGTATTTGATAGCTTCTGGGGGAGGGAGATTCATTCTCTTGAGGATTTGGCCACAGGTAGGTTTCCTGTTTCCGTGGTTGATCCCAGACCCATGTACATGTAGGCAGCACTAACTGGACTTCGAAAGTTATGAATAAAAAAAGACATGAATTGGGATGAGGGCATGTTGAGGGGATGGAGGCAAATTGAAATGGGGAAATGGGCATAGATATGATCATATTTTATTATGTATGAAATTCTCAAAACTAAAGAAAAATTATTCTTTAATAAAGAATTCACGGTGTTCCTTTTCTTTCTTTCTTTTTTTGTTTTTGTTTTTGTTTTGTTTTGTTTTTTGAGACAAGGTCTCGCTGTAGCCCCAGCTGGCCTGGAAGTCGCTATGTAGATCAGGCTGGCCTTGAGCTCATAGAGATCTACCTGCCTCTGCCTCTTGGCATTCCTTTTCTTAAAGGAAATGTTGGAAAAAAATCAATGAATAGCAAAAGTTTCTGAAGACTCTGAATCAACATTGAACTCAAGCATATTACAAATATAAGGACTCATTTTCCTCTTCCATTTTAAAACAAATTTCGAGGCTAGGCTACAACTAGTCCCAGAGGTCATTTAAAAAATATTTTATTATGTTTATTTTTTATGTGTATGAGTATATTGCTTGCATGTATGTGAGTGCACCCGTGTCATGCAATTCCATGGAGGCCAGAAGAGGGCTTCAGATTCCCCTGGAACTGGAGTTAAGGCCGGTTCGTAGTCGCCATGTGGGTGCTGGGAATCGAACCCGGGTCCTCTGCAAGAGTAGTCAGTGCTCTTAACCTCTGAACCATCTCTCCAGCCCCCAGAGGTCATTTTTTGATAAATAAATCGTTATAATAACAGGGTCTGAAATTGCCGTTTGATTAGGGCTCGTGGCAGTCTCCAGAGCATACTGAGGATGGGTCATGGCAGATGCGCTATTGTAGGGGAAGCAGGCTGCATCCACTGCAAGCTATCTCTGCATCATGCACAGTTTTGCAGACATTCCAGTTGAACATGCAGCATCCATCTCCTGTAACCACTGATGTCACTGCTGAGCATGTTATTACAGACCGAGATGAGTCACAAAGATGCGATTAGTCACACCTCATACCCGCCCCGCCGCTCATACCCGCCCCGCCGCCGAGGCAAAGATGAATGTGTATGCTACCCACAGGCATGATTCCCTGATTAGCTTCCTCTGGTGATTGAGAAAGGCATTTTGCTACTGACATCTCAAGTCTTCTTCCAAATTCTACTTAAGAAATCAATCATATAGTGAAATTCAGAAGTTTGACACATTATTGTGTAGAGCAGAGGTCAATAAATCACACAAAATAATAGGCTTTGGGGGGATACTTGTAGACTTGCGGTTTTTGTTTTTTGCTGTTGTTGCTTTTTTTCTTTACTGTTCTTTTTATTTATTTATTATTTTTTTTAATGGTAATGAGAATGTGATTAAAGAACTGTAAGTGGCTGGACGTGGGGGCAAATACTTTTGATCTCAATATTTGGGAGGCAGAGGTAGGTGGATATCTGTGAGACTGGGGCCAGCCTGGTTTATGCAGCAAGTTCCAGGCCAGCTGAGACCCCAGGGAGACACTGTCTTAAACCACCCCCCCCCAAAAAAAAAACAGAAAACAAAACAAAACAAAACAAAAAAGGATGGTAAGTGAAAGTGATGCACCAAGAACCAAGAAGAAAAGTAGGAAACTCAATGTGGCATAAGCTTCCTTAAATTTGCAAAGTAAATGAGACTTGGTGCTATTTTGAGATAAAGCAGAGAGTTGCTACTCAACTGGCAATACAGCTCATCACGGGATCATTTACAGACTCTGCATCAATGTACTCAAACTAAAGAGGAAGAAGTTTTCATTTGCTATTTTGGTATCTCAAAAAGTCATTTAATGTGAAATCCATTGGCTCTGTTGTCTCTGAACACAAGGTCAGGCATTTAAAAAAGTAAACTTTAACATTTTTCATGGCCAAGTTCTCTACTGTTCTATTCTAGGTCATTGAAGAAGCTGAAGTATCAGGGGAGTTAACAAGCAGGAGCTCCATGAAGTTTACTCTCCCTGAGCTGGCAGTGATCTCAAGGAAGAGACTGTCTTGCCATCAGATTTATGGCGCTATACCAGCTATGGTATACCACGGGTAGAATGTTTGACATTGCTGAGCTTGCATTTCATTGCTATAAATAGGGAGGATAACATCTTGGAGCCTGTTATAGGAATCAAATGAGTTATAAAGGCAAATGTTATATACATTGCAAGGCTATAATAGTTCCAATATTCACAAGGCAAGGAAACACTGGAAAAGCTTCTCACCAAATCATGATGCCTACAGGTGACAAAAGTCACAGTTCTCCCCACAAACATCTCTGGTTCTCCATCTTGCAATTCTGCTTTGAATGCTGATTACATTCTGGCATGTAAAACTTAAGAATTACAAGGTGGTAAAGAAAATTGGTTTCCTTTGCTTCGGAAGCAAACACCAGAAGGGCTTTCTCTCTTGGAAAACTGCCAAAGCAATCTGTCCAATTTGCTGCTAATTAATTGGGTGGCTCATCCGATTACTATTGCAATGACATATTCTTCTGTGTAGATTAGTCAATATGGTTGTCATACCTCATTATGATCGTTTTAAGTACTTTACTTTAAATTAAATATAAGCTGTCCTCAGAGCCTAACAACTCTTACTGCTACCCAAATTATAGTGACTTTGTAGGTCAACACAAGTTGCAAGCAACAAGAATTTGTGTTTAGTTTGTGTGAAAGCATAGAATTATTGAGTAATTTTGGAGCTTAGCACACCACTCCTAACACACACACACACACACACACACACACACACACACACAGACTCAGAGTTTAAAGGTGCATTTTCATATTTTCAAAAAGTGTGAAATTTTTGGTTTGATATGGAATATATTTGATATTGTCAGTTTTTTATGATTACTAGAATGAATTGTCCTTCAAATTCAATGTTAAGTACAATTGGTTTTGTGCATTGTGTGTGTGCGTACTTGTGTGTGCAAGTGTGCACAACTATGCATGTACACATGGAGGCCAGAGTTGGCATTCATGATTCTTCTGTATTGTTCTTTGCCTTATTTTTTGAGAACATTTTTCTTACTGAACTTGGACCTCACTGTTTTGGCTTGCTTTGTTGGCCAGCCAACCAATGTATTTTGCCTGTCTCTGCCTCTGAATCCTCAGTGCTGGGGTACAGGCGTGCACTGCCATGCCCAGATTTTTGAGGGAGTTGCAGCTGGGGATCCGAACTCGGGTCCTCATGCTTGCACAGTAAGCATTTTACCCACTGAGCCATTTTCTCACCCCTACAGTTAGATTTCTACTACACGTAAGTATAAATGACTTCCAAGGGAGGAAATCATTTCCAATTTTCATTTCAATTATTTTTTATTCTTATATAGGGAGAGAAAGATACACAGTTCTTTTAAAACAGGATGTTTCATGTTAGAGAATGTGCAATAGAACTGGTCATGTAGGTAATGTGAATTCTCTGTATACTGTACTACAGATTGGAAAAGGACAAAAAGGCAGCATAAAAAGAAGTCTGTTTCAAATGTACATTAGGGCTCATGAGATGACTCAGCAGGAAAAGTGTTTGTCAGCAAGCTTGACAACCTGGGTTTGATTCCTGGAACCCACATGATGGAAAGGGAGAACTGACCCCACAAGTTTAAGATAACAACTATGAAGATGGAAAGAAAAGGATTGTTCTCTGGTCTCATTTAGAGCCATAAACACAAAGTGTTGGAAAACATTAACATATATCTAAGCATTGTCATGTAGCTTTGATGTATTATCATAATTTTCACATAATACAAAAATAGAATTTACTCCAAGTGTCTCCTTATCAGAGATTCTGTCAAACAACCAGCCAGTTGAATACAATGAAAGAGACAAAAATATGGCTATATAATTAAATGATGAAAAGATATTTGACAAATCCAGTTGGTTGTATTCTAGCATAAATTCTATGTAAAACATGAAAGAAACCCTTAAAGTGATAGAGACAATATTTTAAAAACCAATGCCAATTATTCTAAGTGGTAAAGTACTGGAGGTACTGTCCATTAAGAGAGTCTTGTCAGGGGATGCTTGCTCTTGCTGTTACTCAACTTGTCTCAGAGTATCTAGGAAACAATAACAAAAATACTGAAAAAATAAGCAAAACCCAAATTTCCCCTTATTGATAGCAAGACATTACAGAAACCTCAAATTTCTATAGCTAAAGCAAACTATCACAGTTAAGAGATCTCAGTCTGGGGGCCAGGTATCAGATAATTATACCATGGAAGATACTAAGTTTCTTAAAATCCATTCTATCATCTATCTATCTATCTATCTATCTATCTATCTAATCATCTATCATCTATCTATCTATCTATCTATCACCTATCATCTATCTATCTATCTAATTTGTTTTTCCCACAGAACAGTAACACTTTCCTAGGGATGTCATAGCTCTCAGTTTTCTGTCACAAGCTACCTAAGGACAAATTTTCTCCAATACATGTGAACAGTGCTAATAACTGCTGATGCCCTTCCTGCCACATAAATATCACACACAATTTCTTGCATGTTCTTTTCCTGCTACTGTGCTCTGGGTTGACAGCTGTCATAATTAACCAGGAAGGCAAGTGTCAAAGATGGTGGACATGCAGTTGCTTGGGACTTGGATGGTCAACTGAGAAAGCACATTTGATAGACTGAATCATACCTTACCCTATCATCGAAGAGAAGTAAACCTAACATTTCTTTTGTGTCATTACATTTTCATTATTACAAAATCTTTTTTTAATCCTAATGGAAATAGTATAAAATTGATAGCTTTCCTTTAATACTAAATATCCAAATATGTGTTAATATTTAAAAATGAATTTAATAAGGAAAGTATAAAAGCTTATTTAAGAATATAAATTATAGCATTGGAGAGATGATTCAGTGGTTAAGAGCATTGACTACTCTTCCAGAGGACCAGATTTGATTCCCTGAATCCACATAGTGGCTAACAATCATCCATAACTCCAGTTCCAAAGACTTCAACACCTTCTTCTGCACTTGTGCATTTTGCACAACATGGGTGAACTTACATAAATGTAGACCAAAAACACATAAAATAAAAAAAAGTTTAATTAAAAAGAATATAAGCTATACAAGTTCACTGAGGACAACAAATTGTGATCACAAATGAAAGTGCAGCATTATTCTTCAATGGGAAGATAGTTTCATAAACTACACATCCTGTACAACTAATATGTAGGTAGGATATATTCCAGTAAAGTCCCAAAAGGAAAACGTGTAATCGCATTTAAGAACAAAAATTCACAAAAACAAGCAGGACCGCACATTAATACACATGTAAGGAGATGGTTAAAGACACAGAAGAGGACAGCCAAAGAAACGGCACTACTTTTCTCTTATGCTCAAAGATGTAAAAGTGATCACTGCTTGCCGGTGAGGACTGAAGAAAAGAATATTCTCAGAATACTAGCAGAAGTGTGATTTTCTTTTTGAAAAACGCTCTGGCAATATGAAAAATTTATAAAAAAATTATTTTCTGCAATAATATCCCTCAAATATCTACTCCAGAGAAATAAAAGCATATTATGTAGTTTTGTGTGAATAAGCTATGCTTTTCGCTGAAAACTAATAATCCTGGTGACAAAGATATGCCAGATGCTGTGTCAAAGTTTGAATTTCCCATCTTAGACGCTATTCTGTGGTGGGGACTCGGCACCATTTCAAGGTTGTGTCATCTGGCTCCATGCCACGCTGCTCCAACAGGGGGCGCTGCAGGCACACTGGAAGGCTGCAAAGGAACCATGCTGGATCCTTTATCTTTCTGTTGGCTTAAGCCCTGCTTCTGTGTTTCTGAACTTTGTCCTAGAAAATGTTTTCATCTGGGTGGCTACAGTTTCCTCCTGCAGCAGCTGAACACAGAGGGAAGTTTTTCTCTCAGTGGCAGATGCAGGATCCCAGAACACTGTAGAGACTCCAGCGCCAGTTACCAAAGTCTTGTGGGACCGCTCTCTGTCCAGTAGATTTTTAGCCATTTTAACTTCTTTCTTTTGCACAAGCAGGCCTAGAGAAAGGAATTGTTTTCTGAAATTTCCAGTTCTGTATTATCTTGTAAATTTTTATACTAAATATTTTGCATCAAACAAGAAAGTTTCATTTCTTTTTTAAATAAAAAAGGTTGGCTTGGGAGTGGTGGTGCATGCCTTTAATCTCAGTATGCAGCAGGCCCAGCAGGTGAAGGAAGGAAGATCTCTGTGAGGCAGAGGCCAGCCTGATCTACATAGCCAGTTACAAGTCAGCTGAGGCTACAGGGAGAAATTCTTAAAAAAATTGGTTCAAAAAGACAAAAAATTCTGTGTCTGCACGTGTGTGGGCATGCAAGTGCCATGCTGTACATATGCCACAGCTTGTGCATGGAGAGCAGAGGACAGCTTGCAGGTGTCAGCTCTCTCCTTCCACTGTGTGGGCTCTGGAATTGAATTTTGCCTCTCGGGGTTGGCAGCAAGTACCCAACAAACAACATTTCTCTCTCCTAATGAATAAGGGGAGCAATAGTGAGTGAATGTAGAGATCTGAAGGCTATGCAACTAAAAACACAGTGCTGGGAAGGGAAACCTCCCTTTGAGTTGTTGGTCAGGGTAATCCAAGGGACTCCCAAAATAATATAGGGTGTTGCTACAGTCCTTGATTTTCTCTGAGAACTTGAAGGTAAGACCCCATTGCTGAAGACAGGACATAATTCAGACACAGGACTTGGAGTAATCTAGCTGTAACTGACCTGGAAGCCTGAGCACTGGTTGTCACAGTATCAGAAGATATGCAAGGTGCTAAGGGAGAAAAACAATCAATGATCCAACCCAGGTGTAAAAACCTATGAATGACAACAGTGACCAGCCCAGCAAATAATCTCTATTACTTCAGTACTGGTACTTTTATATTGGGGGTAATCAATAGCTGCCTAAGTGGACCTAAGGCTCGCTCAGTGCGAGGGAACTCATATGTGGTACTGTCTACATAGCTTTATCTACACATGGCTGGAGATGACATAGATCCTAGAGCAAAACCTATCTTTGTCACATCCATAGAGCAATCT